TATTAAAATGAATAAGTGTTTTTAATCAAAAAATAACTTTTATGGTATTTCAGATTATACTTTTGATATAATGTGACAAGTATTTGTAAGCCAAACTCATATTTCTTTTTACTGTGCAACGACAATCCGTAAATTATTTAGTTTTGATCGCAAAGAATGCGAATTCTCATCAGTGCTGTCTGCCACAAAGGGAAGGCACCGTAATTATTTAGAATTATTAACGAATGAACCTTAAACAGAAGGATAGTATATTAATTATCAAATCTTTGTAGATTTGCAATTGGTAAGCAAAATTATAGGATTGTATTTGGGTTTTTTTCAAAAATGCAAAATTATTATAAGTATCCCCACAATAATGGTGTCAACCCTAACAATTTATTTAAATCAAGGGACGATGTATGCATGCATGTGGAACTGAAATCACTTTTTGCATGTGTAAATAAATATTTAAATATCAATTTTTATCCAGTTATGAAAAACTCGGGTAGTCTTTTGTTGCATATCTACGAGTAGGTATATACCGGTAAAGCTGTCTACCACAATACGATTACGTTTGGTAAAATCTACTGACAATCTGTATTCCTGCATAATGTTATAGATAAGTTGATTAATTGATATAATTAGGGTCTGCAAGATAAGTATATTGTATAGACTATTATATGTAGGTATAGACTATACTGATCGGCTCTACCTGACTACCGGTCGACAAGATTCAGTACTGAATCGTGTCGTTCACAGGCAGTTTTATTTGTGAAACTCGAAAAAAGACATTTGATTTATTTATTATAGTATAACATTTGGGTTCAATGTAATTACAGAAGTTCAATGTAGAAGTGTCGTTAGACTGTTTACCAACAAAATACTTAATAAAATAACGATGCAAATACTTTACAACAATACCTATACCACATGTTTAAATAATTATTTGCTTTGCTTTGTTTGACATTTGGATAATGATAAGTGTAGCATCAACATGTATTACATATATTTTAAAGATATAGTCCACTCTGTGTAACTGTTTATTAATTAATACGTTTGAGATTAAACTACCACTAAATATTTATTTTCACAATTCCTGTCTCTGTACTAAAATACTAAATTAAACTTAACTAATACATATATAAATAAATATGATATTTTTTTATAAAATATTTTTACTTTAGGTACCTACACTCCCTAAAAATCATCAACAACAATGAATCATTGCAATGGTTATAAGTATAAAGAAATCTCATTTGTTGTTTTTCATTTGCAATTTGGTGCTATGAATAGGGCAGAGGCAATGGGCGGCACCACCATATGCGCACGCGACGTAGACGTTAGTTCTACTACATTTTATATGTAACTAATGTATCCAATTAATTGGAAATAAACGTAATAATTACTTAGATATTATTACAGGACTTTAATGTGCAACCTTGATTTTTTTACTGGATAAACCTTATAATAACTCTATTTCTGTTAAGAATACTAATTAAGTACTTACTTACTTAAGAATAGATATAAGAAATAAAGGATGCCAAAGCTAGACTATTGATAAAATGTACGAGTATCTTACCTTTCATCAATCGAAACAGATTTGTATCTTATTAAGTTAAAAATAAAATATTACTATTGGTGTCTTTAAACATTAATTAGTTGCGACATATTTTCTCTCATCTGCACTTTTTTAAAGAGTGCATAGTGGATTTATTCGTAAGATAAAACCTTAAATCCTTTTAGCTTGGCTATACCGCTTCCGTTACTCATAGTACAGTGAGCCCAAACAGAGTCAGGTGTTGACCAGACTAACAATAGGAAATGTTAAGAAAGCCTAAACACAATCTCGTGAATGTGTTAATAGAAACAATAGAACAACAGTAAGTAAGGAGGCGCAGCGCTGCGGGTTAGTCGCCGGCGCAGCATGCGCATACGCAGATTACAATAATTACGCGCACACGCGCCGCGCCCAGTTCGCGTACTCGCCTTTAATCACTATCATTTCGCTCATGTTATTCTATGTTCTATACAAAACACGCCCTATCGCTGGCGACATCGACACGCTTTGTCGCGACACACGGCAACAAATTGTTAATAACGGCGTACAAATGCTACTGTGGCGCATAGTGTAGGGAAAACTCTGAATAGACTTATTGATTTGACTCCATTTCGTTCTTCAATAAATAAATGTTTAATGATAAAAATAAAGCATAGTATATTTCAAAGTTATAATTTAAATTTTTTACTCAATAATCCCACGTCTTGAATCAGGTAAGTATAATACTTATATATCTAAATTTAACAGGTCTTATCCTAATCTACTCGGATAAGTCCATGAAAAACAGATAGCTGCAAATATAAAAGTAACCAATACATATAATGGAACTACTTAAATAATTAGCTTGTTCAAGTTAATTTATTTCTTTATATCCATTAGGGCATAGCATTGCAACTAGACATAGATAAATTGACTGTAAAACTGTCGGAGAGCCGAGCAATAAATTGAATTAATTACTTGCCAATTAGGTAAACGAATATGTTGTTAAAGTATGGTTTGTTTATAAATTGATATATATAAGGCAATATGTATTCTATTACGAACTATTTACAACCTGCTTCTTTCGTTATCATATCCATTTTCTTTTTTACTAGTTACAGATATCAATGGAGCATTGTTCGAAATTTCAATTTTATCTTAAGTTTTTTGTTGGTATAGTATAAATTTTATTCTATCCATACTTAATATATTGGCATAAAAATAAGGATTTTTGTAGTACTGGATAAGATCTGCACATTACTAGAATAATGTTATTGTCTAGTTCCAAAGATTTGAGACGACATAAATAGTCATCAAGATATTTTGGCAACTTTGGATGTGAGATTTGATTCATGTGATAGATATTGCTCAAAATAAGGCTCCATTTAAAATTCTTCCATCAGTGCGATGGAATACTTTGTTAAACAGGTCATAGTTCATTAAGAGGGATGTACATATTTTTGCTAATACTTAACCTTGAAACACTTACTACCTTTATTTAAGGTAAATTCTCATTCATACGGAAACTTTTGGTAGTTAACATCTCCACTGTAAACCTATAATCAAAAACTTATGAGTAGCGTGAAGTCTATATTATATATGCCTAAAAAAAGTTGTCTTTACACATCCCTAATCAAGGATTAATGTATTTTCTAGAAGCATTTATATAAAAAAATTCAATCAAAAAACTGAGCAATGGCGCCGATACTGAGGGGGTACTTTTTTAAACCTACCTAATATTTAAATTTAGTAATATCGCAAAGTTAATGTTTTATGGATCATCATGAATTATAATAAATATATAATAAATTTGTTATTACATATTGGTCCTTATAACAAAGACCTCGGTGTGATTTCGAATAGAAATTTTAATCTTAAAGATAGGTTTGAAGAAATGGTAAAATAGAAGCGGCCCCAATATTTATATATATCTATAAAATATATAATAAAACTTTATTGGAACATCTGCTAAGGTATCACGTGACGAGATTTTGCGTGATATCAATAGTGAACGAAAGTGTATCCTGTCATACGAGCCGTATCCGCCCCCGCACAGATTGGAACTGTAAAAAATGGAGCAATTTTTATAATAGTCGCTGGGGTAACGATCTCAATGCTCTTTATTATGAACCGGAAACATTTATTACTGACGGCGGTGAAAAAATACCTATTTGTAACGAAATTCGTACTTAGTAACAGATTAGGGTGGGTGCCAGCTGGCGTTCTACGCTGGTCACTAGGTTAGCACTTTCACTGTGTTTTAAACAAAAAAATATATAAAATATGAAGGGTTTCCAAAGATTGACGTATGGTAAATGCTAGAATAGTGATTTTTATGTTTTTAAATAACTTAGAATGGCGAATGAGCTGATGGTCTAATTTTCATTAGATGGAAAGTGGCGATATAATACACTCTGTCATATCCATAACAGAGTATACTGTATCGCCCATGATACCTTTCATACATTGCCAATCCTGAGGATTAAGGTGTCTTAATTAAGATGCCTCTGTGTCCTATAATTTCATTGCCATATTCCACTGTTCAAACCGAATTGGATTAAATCTACATCCAAACTACTTTTCAAACTACGTGAACCATCTTACCTTTTTAATTAAATATTTAAGTGTAAAATACTTTTTTATATCTTATTGTGCATTTATTATTTAAATGAAATTACTCAAATAAATGCGTATCACTGATAACATTAAAGATCTTCAACAAATCTTTTTAGTCAGAGAGCCGATTACACGACAGTCATAGGATCATTTTATCCGTCTCTTAGATTATGCTGGAATTGTACTTGAAGAATATAGGTCACTCGAATTTTTATTTTATTTTGCTCTTTTATTTAATATTTAATACAAATCTTGTATTCTACGATTTCGTTAATCTTTTGTTTAGTTATATTTATAGTGAAAATAATAAAATATATGTACTTATATATACTATATGTACTTCATACATATATAAAAATCTATACAGTTTTTGATAATTTATTATCACTTAATTATAGATTATTAACTTATTATTATTTTTATTTATTATAAAATATTATTGTATGTAAATGATTTTATTCATAAATACGAAAAAGTCAAATTCATAAACCATTAAAGTGCTAAAAAATAAACATAGATAGACCCGACCACATAAACAGGTATCATTATATGTAGCAAGAACAAACAAAATAAAATCACAATTTACGTTTTATTAACCGCCCTAGGTATATTAGCATACCATCAATCAGTTGCTATCCTTATTTTTATGTAAATTTAACTGCCCCCAGACTTTGGACAAAGTTCATAGCTTAGATTACAGTAAAAAGTGCGTTATCGGACTATATTAGTTTTGCGTGTGCCATAAAAGTGCCCGCCTTTCGTGTCCGCCCAGCGCCCTCGCGCCGCCCCGCGCGTAAACAACGCACATAGGCGCCACCTAGCGGTGCGCGGCCGCGACACGCGCGCGCCGCTCGTGTGCGCGAGGAGAGAGGGACGCACTCGCACTCGCGTCGTCGCCGGCCGCCGCATCTCGTCTCGAACCCTGCAATTAGTAGGCGAGATTCGTTCGCCGCATCGATTCGTTACGATATAATTGCTCCGAGGAATTTTCACTCGGAAAATTTTGGACCGCGTGTGCTGAGGCTAAGTGAGTGGGTTTCCGTGGATGTATGGGCTGACATGAACTGCGCGTACTATCAACAGCACGGGGGCTCGCACCCCGTACCGCACAATGTCAACAATAATTATTTCAACGAGGTAAATTACTTTTTAAAATTGATTTTTTTTTATCAACTCCTGATTAATTATTTAACAAAGACAGGTTGTATCTATCTACTTAGATATATTTTTATTTCAATTAATTAAGTCAATTTTTTATAAAAACTGAATAATACGTACTGAAAAGTTTACCATTCCTGTTTATTATTCTATTTATAAATTCTTTATAAGTGCTGTGTTGTTATAATAGGTTCAATAGGTCAGGCAATATTTTATTTTATTCGTCTCTTTATTGCAATATTTAAATATTATTATGTACTAATTTGAACAAAACGATACTAGATAAAGGTATTATTGCGGTAAAGAAATTAATCTTTTAATTTGATAATTTTTATAACAATGTAAATAAATTTATAGTAATAACAATTTACTGTATTGGAAAACTGTGGACAGCAGTAAGACTTTAGTGAATTTATGAGAATAATGAAAAGATTCATATTTAATTTACTTAGGCTGAATTACATAATTTTATCTATGTATTATTTAAAAACATATAAATCGAAAAAAAATTATTAAAATAAGTAATAAAATTTTAATCCTATTAATATTATAAATACGAATATTTGTAATGATGGATGCTTAAATTATATAGATAAAGCATCGAGCCTTAAAAACGGTTCAACTTTTTGTCAGTTACTTGTCAAGTTAGCTAATTCGTTTTTTTTACCAGTGTTCTACGCATGCAATGCATCTTGACGTATTATTTAATAAATAAAATGAATGTTTACGCATTAAAAAAACACAGAAATTATAACACAAAATAAATACAGAAGTTATAAAGGAATCACTCATATCTATTTATCACGCAAAATTGTATGAAATTAAATATAAAATTTGGTATACAATATGGTTCTCTTGTAACTTAGCATATAGGATATTTTATGTACCTACTAATTCACGCGGGTGAAGCAGCGGGATACATTTAGTAATTCATAACTTTGTGAACTCTGATGTCTAAAGTTGATGCTAGTTATGTATTGTATTTACGTCTGCCTGTATGGGCTATAGGATGGTATATAGTTAGACGTAACATTAGGAAATAATATTTTTTATATCTTTCAAAAGAAATAAATTCCAAGACTGTAGAGTTATATGTGAAATATTTAAAAATTAAACTTAATACGAAAGGTTTTAAATATGTAAAAATAACATTTTATTTTTAAATACTATATATTGATCTATGTAAGCAAATTCGTAAACAATTTATAGTCTTCAACAATATTTCCGGAGCATTAAAAAACACAAGTTCACACCGACTTATAGTAGATCTCACGTATTCCAAATGAGATCAAATATCCGCAAAAAACGTTGCATGACAAACAAAAGACGCTCACGAAAATGAGCCAACAAAGGCACACCTCGGCACAACAAAGCAGAATGGGAATAAAAATATTTAATTGGTGCGATTACGTGGTGTGATTACGGTTCGAACACCTCCCGCTGCCTCGCTCGCCGACAATGACGCGACCTGCCTTTCTTCCTTTGTCGTCGGCTACTTCACAGTAAGACAAGTTTTTATGCAATAGAAAGCTAATTTGATTGTTGTTTGATTTTATGAGGCTCCAATGTTCACTTGATCGTATATAATTTAACATATTGTTATTTTACGTGTACATTTTCTATAGAGAATTAATGTAAATTAATGAAATTTATTATTAGGTAGATAGAGCTATTTATATAAGATTTTGTTGGATTTTCAAATAATTTTTTGTACTTGGAATAGTAAACGAGCTGACTACCCACCTGATGGAAAGAAGTAGTCGCCTATAAATATGAACATTACCATAGTTATCACAGAATGCATTGTCCATGGCATTGGTACCCGTCACGTGTTGCCATTTTTAATTTCATGTTTTACCTTCAAACTGTATATAATTTTCCAACATGCAGAACGCACCTCTTTAGAATATATTACTAAATTTTGTATTTTTCTTTGCTATGTCTGAAAATGACATTATTCTTGTTATTACAGTTTTCTCTACTACAAGCGACCGTCTTATTATTTTGTAAAAGAATTACTGTCCTTTCTTAAGTGTATATCTTTCATTAAAATACAATATTTAAAAAGCAAGATGATTTGCTTTTTAAAAAAAAATATTTCGTAGGCTTACTATCTACACTAACATATGTATTACATATGTACTTACATGTTTACACAAGAACGATATATTAATGCAAAGGTAGAATAATAAAAAATAAAAACTAGCTGTCGTAATTTTATGTGGGGTTCAGGTCATGTTTTTATTTATCTTTAGTACCATCTGAACATTGTACGTTTCCGTTTACATTTCAAATGTTCACAATGTTGCAACATCATCATATTAAATGTTATCAAATGGAAATGGTTTAATATCACTCGGGTCATTCTGACAACTAAGTATGTACTGCTTTTGGAATATATAAAAAAAAAATTGTCAGGACAAAATAAAGTGTTGCATTTAGGTATATTAAATACATTTTCAATTATTTTATAGAAGGTATTCAAGATATAATATTGTCTGCCTAAAATTACACTATAAACATATAATAAATCTTGGTAAATTTCAATGTAGTTTTTTAGGATTTAATTATATCAACATATATTATTACAACTTTATTTATTTTTTTAATAGTTTACAGTCATTAAAATATGCATTGTTTATACTTAAACGAAAAATAACTACTTGAATATTTACGACTATAATTGACTGACTGACTCATCAACGCTCAGCTGAAACTACTTAAGTAAGAATTGCTAAATTTTTACTATGAGTGCCTTTTATAACCTACATAAGTAATAAGAGAGGCTTTTCCAAAATTGAACCCTATAGAGTATAAATATAAGGTAAATATAAATTTATATGAAATTATTTAATCGATTTACTTGAAATTTACTGTAAATTCTCTTAAATAAAAGTAATATCATAACTTAATATCAGCATTTTTTAAAATTCAACCTCTAAGAGTATAAAAAAGATAAATACTTGACTAAGAAAGTATATTTTTTAAAAAAGAATAAATAAATAACATGCTTTGCCGCTGTATTAGGTTGAGTAGAAGAGATCTTTTTCAGAGATAAGCCCACCCTTGCTCACAATATTTATGAATGTATCATCTATGTAATTTACAAATGCAATAAAGAATACTTATCTATAAAAAATATACTCTCTCATACAAATTTCCATCCCTATTTGTTTATCCTTAGGTGCAGAATTTTGAAAATACTTTCTTATTACTTATATAGGTTATAAAAGGAACTTACTGTCTAAATTCCGTATTTTCAACTTTAATAGTTTTAAATTGTAAGTTGTTCTTTTTACAACGTGGTCATCTAGTATGAAATAATTTCTCTGTATTCCTACAAGAATAGTAGATACAGGGTATGTGCGAATAAAACATGCTACCTTTATAAATAATAATATTTAAGATTTAGTCTCTGCGTCTAGCTATATTATGTTCTTTGGAACGTAGTCAGGAGTCTAGCACTCCTAAGGTTTGCTGTGTTCTGATTAACCATAGATTATAAGATAATTGATTAAGAGGGGCAATACATTTTATTATATCCTTGGCTTATGTTTCTATACACGATGGTTACGGTTCTACGTACGTGAAGATCTAATAGAAACTTTGACGTGTCATCCCAGCATAGAATTGGCCATCCCGTCCGTTTTCCTGGGTATAGTAACAGATGATTAAAGGAACTTAATGGTCGAGGAATGGGAATGGGAAGCAACGTCTCTCTTAAAACATTACCAAAGCCTAAGTGTGGTTGTCAATCCGCTTGCCAAGCATGGCAACTACTGAAAAAAGCCGCCTTATGGGTGAGTCTATGTTCAGCAGTGAACAGTTAACAGCTGATAAATACATACATAAATTGTTGCCTCCGCTGTTTACCATTGTCAATAGTAGAAATTGAACAAAAATTTATAGTGCATTTGTCTTATGATAAACTTTTTGAATCACTTTTGAATCCTTTTGTTTGTTGGGCTTCTCCCAAAATTTAAACCATGGATATACCTTGGTAGTCTCCATTAAAAGTCAGATCTTCAAATTTAAGGTAGTTATGCCAACATGTCTTCTATTTGTAATTTAATCAATTTAGGAGCTTTATTGTTAATCAGCTAATTGAGTTATCTGATATATTTAATTAAATTTTCGCATAAATATTATTATATATTTAATAAATACTGCCATGTAAAGTGACAACAAATAGTAGCCTAATTAGAGAGTGCATTTACAGTCTTAGATCGAACGTATAATTATTTTAATGTACTCTTAAAATACATTTCGATTCACAGTCAAGCCATAAGCCAGTCATCATAATTAAATACAATCCTTTTGAACTGATAGAAAGCTGAGGTTCGACGAATGCGCTACCTACTATTTGAAAGTATAATTACGATGTATTAGAAGTGCTAATTATGTGATCATACCTAATAATGTGTTTATTTTACCTGTGATAATAGAATAAGAGTACAATTTGATATCACTTTGTACATTAGGTATAAGAAGTCGTGATATGTAAGAGAATAAAATCAATAAACGAATGTATAAAAGCAAAACTCGTTCCTACTCTGGACTAAACTATAGAAGCAAAATCAATATTAGCCTATATACTTCTCTAACGGGAAAGATTTATGTCCATTAGTGGGGTTTTATAAAATGTTAATGAGTAAAACTTTTCCAATAAGGGTTTAGACCGTAATAAAAATGTCATGTCTCCACTGGGGTTGATCATTGTTATTACTATTAGACAGTTATGGTTTAAATATTTTTTACCTACTTTCAGGCCAGCTGTCATTAGCACATATTATCTCTTGTTTCATCCATTCTCTTAACTCGATTACATTACATGTTTACATCGATTCCAAAGACACTTCACTTCATCCTCAGATAATATACAGTTTATCTTCTAATTATAACTGGTTAGTCTAAATCTCCCATATTGCTTCTATTCTTTCACTTTCGCTTTGTAGTTTGTTCAAATTATTACTTCATTA